CTGAAAACTAGATGCACACATATATTTATTCACTATAACTATCCTAATAGCCTCCGAGGTGTTTACGACTTGACTTCTAGCTTAGTAGTCGCTCGAATACTTATCAGCCAGTTGATGCAGCCACTCAATGACTTCCTGCAGCGACTTGGTGCCCAAGCGCTGTTCACCCCGGGCTCGGATGTTAACCGTCTGAGCTTCCTGTTCCTGCTGGCCGACGACAAAAATAAAGTTGAATCGCGCGGTTTCAGCGTTGCGGATCTTTTTGTCAAGCGTCGAGGAGCTGAAGTCAGCATCACCGAAGAACTTCTCCCTTTGGAGGATATCGCATACCTCTTGTGCGTAGTCGTTGTTAGCAGCTGAGACAGGGACGACCATGACTTGCCGCGGGCTCAACCAGAAAGGCCACATTCCAGCATTGTGCTCACAGAGGATAGCGATACAACGCTCGAGGGAGCCGAAGATGGCTCGATGAATCATCACCGGGCGTGCCTGGTTCGCATCCAGTCGCAGGTCAAGGCCCAACTCACGGACAGCCTCTTCGTAAGGTGTCTTTGGTTTAGCGGCGGCGTTGTTCCCGGGGTCCGCCACAGGATCGGCGTGTTGCGTTGCAGCCTCACTTTTCACATTCGGTTTATCCGCCGCGTCCTCGCTGTCTTCCTTACCCTTTCCAACGGCGGATGCCAGCGTATACTTAAGCCCAAATCGATTCGGCAGATTGAAGTCGAGCTGAATCGTGGCGCACTGGTGGTGGCGAAGCAGGGCGTCCTCAACGGCAATGTCAATCTTGGGGCCGTAGAAGGCGCCATCACCGGGGTTTTCTTTCCATGCGTTGGCGTGGATCGGGCCCTTCCACAATGACGGATCATCGCTTTGGCTGGCCTTACGCACGAGCGCCTTTAGCTTCTTTACCGAGTTTGGGGTCCCATCAAAGATAAAGGTCTCACCAGGATGAAATGGGTCATCCAGCGCCTCCGGGATGCCACAGAAATGGTTCAGCCCTGCACGGAGGTGGGACTCGGATTCGTCCCATATCTCGTCGGAGCCCAGTTTGTTCTCCGGCCGCGTTGAGAGCAGGAAGTGGAACTTGAATCCCAGCGTGCCGTACACATCACTCAGGAAGTCCAAGGCACCCTTTATTTCATCTCGGATCTGATCCATGCGGCAGAAAATGTGAGCGTCGTCTTGCTGAAAGCGGCGGACGCGCGTTAGGCCCGTTAGCGTACCGCTGAGTTCGTTACGGTGGAGCACGCCAAAGTCGGCATAGCGAATCGGAAGCTCCTTGTATGAGTGCGGCAAGCTCGCAAACATGATACAGTGGCCTGGGCAGTTCATGGGCTTGAAGGCAAAGTCCTCTTTCTCACATGTCGTGCAGAACATGTTCGCTGCGTACTTTTCCCAGTGCCCCGAGACCTTCCACAGCTTGGACGAGTAAATGTTTGGCGAAATCACCTCCTGGAAGCCGCGCTGCAGGTATTGCTTACGCAAGAATTCCACAAGGTTGTTGTAGATGCGGGCACCATGGGGCAGCCAAAAGGCGCTTCCAGGGGACACCTCATTGAAGAGGAAGAGGTGTTGCTGTTTGCCAATCACACGATGGTCTCTCCTCGCGGCTTCTTCCTGCCTCTTGCGCCAATCCACCAGCATGGAGGCCTTGGGGAAAGTGATCCCGTATACTCGCTGCAGCACTGCGTTCTCTGCCTTGCCCTGGAAATAGGAGGAGGAGTTCTTGAATACACTGACGGCTTTAATGCGGCCGGTGTCGGTGATGTGTGGACCACGGCAGGGGTCAATCAGGGCGCCAGAACGATAGAGCGTACATGTTGTTCCATCCTGAACTTTGCTGGCCAGGATGGAGGTCTTGAATTCCGTGTAGCCGAAGATGCGGAGTGCATCCTCCTTCGACACCTCAAGGCGTTGATAAGGGGCCTTTTCCTTCACGAGTTCCTGCATGGCGGCCTCGATAAGGCCGTAGTCCGCTTCCGTCACCGTGCGGTTTGTCATGCCCTCATAGAAAAAGCCGCCTTCCTCAAGCGGGGGTCCCACCGAGAGCTTTGCGTCGAGGACACGCTCGAGGGCGTAGCCGAGGACGTGGGCGGAGCTGTGCCAGAAGACGTGCTGCGCCTCCTTGTCCTCCCAGTCCAGCAGCTCAAGGGAGCAGTCCCCTTCAAAGGGCCGCGTGAGGTCCCATAGCTGGTCATTCACCCGTGTGACGATGATCTTCTCCGCGAGCGAGTTCGAGATGCGCTTCACGATGTCAAGCGGACAGTTGACCCAGCTCTCCGCCTCCAGGACCTTGCCGTCCACCATCGTGACCTTGATGGGCGCCTTCTTCTCCTGAAAGCGGCGCTGCTGTTCCTCCCAGAGCTTCTCGAATATGTCGATTCGGTGCTTCCAGCATTCGGGATCAGACATTTTCTTCAGTTCCTCCTCGGCCTTCAAGGCGTTTGCCTTGGCGGCAACAGGGGGCATCTTGGTTTTGACGGTGCTGCGCTTTTCACTGATGTTAGTACGAGTTGTTGCGAAATAGCAGCGTCTTTGGTGAGCGGAAGAAGCAAAGCAGGGGTTTCTGGCTAGATGTATACTGGTGTAAACAACGAGAGAGAGGCTTCTACTTTGCGAATAGGGAAATAGTGTTTGGACTTGGAGTTTTAAATAGTAACAAAGAGGTCTCCACGAACGAAACGTATTGCGCTTTTTATTTTATGTTTCTTTTAGCCTTTTTCTTCGAGAAAACTTCAAAATAACTTGATTTTATAGTAATAGCAAAAGCTTAAAAATTGCAAAATTAGAACTGATATTATGTGAATTAATTTATTTAATTTTTATTCGTGGAAAGTGGCTGTAAAACCCAACTTCATATTGTGTATCATGCCGGTTACCCAAAATTTTCAGTTTATATTGTATTTGTATTTTTTGTCTTTATTATCGTGTTCTTATATATGAATACTTGTTTTAAAATGGATTAATCCGAACATGTTAGGGTTATACTTGTATTGGCATTCATTGCATATAAATGATTAACCTATGCACTAAATCTGGAGCATTCCATCAGAGTCTTTTTCCTCTTGTCAACTAAGCTTTTCACAGATTCTTTATCACTAGATCATTTCATCTGCCGACGTTGTGCCTGTTTGTTAGCAGATCCCTCATGTCTTATCTACTAATGGGATTTCTTTTGATGCAGATCATTTTGTCTTCACTAGTCAAAGTACCCATCACTATGCATTACACAACTTTTGTTTTCACTGAATGCTTCACCATTGTATATGTTTCACTCACCGCGATATTACACCGCTCTTTTTATGCGCTTCTGCATATCAACGATTTTCTCTCCCTTCACAGGGGCCTCACGAGGTCTTTTTGAATGCTTGCTGCCATTGCGTGTCAATGATAATGATGTTGGAGAGCCCGATGAGTAGACAAGTCGACGATACGCCTCATTGACCTCACGTTCTACCTGCTGAGCTTCAACTTCGGCGGCCCGACGCATCCTCCGGTGGCCCTCTTGTTCCTCCAAAAGAGTATCCCAATAGAAATTATCGAGATACTTCACCATCCACAACTGACCATAGCAGCGTCGCTGGCGTTTGCATTCTACGGGGTTGCCATTCATGGTGGCTGCCGCGAACTTGGCGTCCTCCGAAGACGCGAACTCCATCCACCCTTCCTTGTACTGCAAGGGCAAGAGCGGGCCGCCAGGGCGGCGCTCCTTTTTTGGATAGGGAACAAATTTCATGCGTAAAATTTTGCCAAAGCGGTTGAAATGGAGACGAACTTCAGGCGGCCGCATATCTCGAGGCACAGATGAAAAATATAAAACCCCTCTCTGACTTAGGGAAGATGACACTTTGCTCTTTTTTGTACTTGCCGTGATATCGGCTAGCTCGGAAGATGAATTCATCTTGTGTTATACTAATTTTTGTGACTATGTTTTTTTTACCCCTTTGAACAACCTGTGCATGTATGGAATAAGAACGTTTTTCTAAAATGGTTATTTCTATATACGTGCCCCTGATAATCAAATTTGAGCACTTTAAAGTAATAAAATAACTGCATTCGATGCGATGATTTTCATTAAAATATGTATGTAGCAATACAAAAAATGTTTTGGCCCTTCTCCCTTCCCTCCTCTTTAGAGGCTTGCAAAGAGTTTTATACGGGTACATAAAGCATTTAGTTTTTTTAAATCATTTTGTAGGTTTCGTTTGATCTTTTTCGTGTGCATGCTCATTTGAACTTTAGCCCTAATTTTTTTTCTAATGTTGAGTCTTTAATGCTCTACGTCTGAGAAAGTGTTATCAACTGATACACATAGATATACAATCACATAATCAAACAAAGGAAGGCAATTTTTGTCCATTTCCATAGACACATTTCCAAAGTAAACCCCAAAAGGGATGATGGAAAAAAAGTTTATGCAAAAAAAGCCTGAAACACACACACGCAATATACGCAAAAAAAAAAAATTGTAAACCTGATCGTCGGCGGCAAAGAGATAATTTGACATAAAACATGTCCATATGAAGCAATCTATGCCAGCAAAATGAGTCGACATCGCTGCCAGTGATACCTTAATAGAGTCTTAAATCTACTATGAAATGTGTTAGCTACACCAAAGGCTTCCTTATTACCAACCAAGGAAAATTTTTACTACCTTTAGGCAAGTTAAATGCCTGCGTGTAATCATCATGATTTCCCCTTTCCTTCCCCCTTCCCCCCTCAAAGATTTTTTTTCTTAGGGCTTCGGGTATCTATGACGCATCATCAACCTAAACCACTTTAAATTAGTGAGTAAAGAGTGTAGAGTTTTCAAGGAAAGTTAATGGGCACTGGAGGTGTTATTTGTTGTGGTTTCATACGCTTTAGCCTCGGGTAGATCGAGGGTTGACGCCATTGATATACCTGGGGCATACTGTGGAAGGACATCTTTGTCACATGGAGGCACTCCACCCTCATTACTTGCTATACTCGAATCAACAGAGGCACTACTAATATGTGTGTTATGCTTTCTTGGATGTTTGCTTGGCCCCTGACTACTTGCACTTTGTGTAAATGCCGCGCCTGTTTTCCGTGCAGCTCTGGGCTGTACGGTCTTGGAGGCTATTTTTTTTCTTTCTGACTGCATCAACTTATAAAGCTCTGGGATCAGGAGATCAGAAAGTGTGATGCAAGGGGCCTCACTGGATTCGATATCATCAAAGTGAACAGGCGACTTGTAGACCAGGAAGAGACACACGACGTTATCCGCGGCATTAGAACTTTTGTGGAGGCATGACGACGATGATTTCAGCTCGGCTTCCTCCGCCGTGCTATATACAGATGTTTTATGACATAACCTGGACTTGGAGCTGCCGAGCTGGTTGTGTTGAAAGACTAAATGCCAGCGAGTAGCGTCACTTGTGATAACGTGGATATCCACACAGAAGCATCTCGCAGCGGCATTGATGCAGATCTCATCGCCCCAGAACCCACTTTTCTTCATGTCTGAAAGATATTGCTGCCACTCTTTCTTACCATTAAAGAACACCCTGTAATCGGACTCATTTTCTTTCATGTATGCGACAACACAAAAACGAATAATGTGGTGAAGATGAGCCTTTCCAAATAGCTGATGAGCAAGCGAGGCGAAGAGACAGTTTCCATCGTCCTTTTGACCACTACATTTGAGTTGAAGCTTTTCAAGGCGGCATTTGAGGCGATGTGTATTCGTCTCGATTTCTTGTTGCCGTTCAAGCTCTAGTAAAGTACAGGAGTCGTTTACGCCAAAGACTACACTACCCATCATTTCTGTTTCGCTACACGTCTGATCGCTTGCCGCCATCCGCTTTGCCATCTCTTGTTCCTCCTGAATCATGGCCTGTCCTATGAAGATATCCTCAGGGGTGTTATAGTTCCCACATGTCAAGCAGTACCGCAAACCATCCGCAGAGCGCTCGATGTCGTGTAGAGTAGTGCAGTATCTGCAGGACCAGACGCGTGGCTTCTTACAGCTATGACAGCAATCTCCCTCGATGGTGCTCACAGCGCCGCACTCCTGACACTTCCATATGATGTGAATCTCTTTATTATGACATAGGCTTCGTTCGATATTGCTAGAGAGCGGCGAATTGTATAAATCGGACAAGTCTACTCCACAGAGGGGACAGGTGGTAACCACAACCGGGGCCAAGGAGTTATTATTTGAGTCGACTCGGAATTCCTTTGAAAGATCCAATTCCTCGCTTCGGTTAGTAATATTTGTCTGCTCCCGGTGGTGGGTTTGGAAGCGCGAAAGGGCCATAAGCGGGGCCCGCGACGGATCCGCCGCCTCCACCTTCATCTCCGCGTCGGAGGCGACCCGTAACTTCTCGATCTCGCACGCCAGCTGTCGGTCATTCGCGCGCCGTTTCGGGGTGTCAATGATCGGCAACACCAACGCAACGTAGGCGGTGTGAAAACAGGGAAAACACAGCGCACTGGTATCTTTCAGACGAAATCGCAGCGAGGTGTCGCGTCCGCAAAGCCAACAGGAGCGGGCGTGGGGAGGGCCATCCGGGGCGCTGGGGGAGACGCTCCGTCTCTTCCCGCTCGTCCCCTCCCGGGTGCCCTTCTGCGGCTCCTTTGGCCCTACCCGCTCCTTCTCGATCTTCCTTCGAAGCAGCGTGGTGAGACGTTCCATGGGCGTTCGCATTTCGTGATCACACACACACCAGAAGGAATTTCGTCGTGGTGAATATCGGATGGATTCAACCCTACAAGGTAGGGGTTTAAAAGAATCGGTTCAAGCAATCTTGCCCTTGACCCGATTTCGTACTTCCTTCCGTTTTTATATTCTATTAGCTCTTTGTCTCGGACAAATGCGCACCCTTTTTGGGAAAGGTAACTTGACACAAAAAAACTGATCTGCTAAAATGAACTTTTTGGATTCTCAATTAGTTATGCCCACGCGTTACCCCTATCTCTTCGCTGTAATCAGACTACTAAAACTCCTACAAATGAAGAAAAGGAAGTCTAAATAGTATAGAAAAGCAATTGGTGTATAACCTTTGATGTTTAGAGATTGTGGCCTGATGGGTTGGAAACTTTTGTATCCCTTCCTGGAATATATCTTTTCAATGAAAGTTGAAGGACCAGGCTTGTGGAGCACCATTACTTTCTACTCGATATACACACCTATATGTGTTATCGACGAAGCCAAGCAAAAAACACCTTTTTTTCTCTATTCATTTATTGAATGCTCTATTTTCAATGCACACTATTTGTCTACAAATACTACTGCTGCTATTTATACTAATGGGTACAAGTACAATTCTCTACTGTATGCACTTGTTTTTTTTCCTATGTTAAAGGGGTCATTTCAACATCTAAACACACGTGGCTGTACGAAACAAAAGGGTGGCTTCATATGAAAGCACACAATATAGAACTAAAAAAAATATGAAATTTGCTCACCGGTTCCGCTATACGTATATATATATATATTCAACTTAGATAGCTCTGTCTTTAGAACACAGACATGATTCTCAGTGTACTGACTCTTTACATAAGCCGGTCTATTTTTCCCTATATCGTTATAGTTTGCAATACAACGATTACTTGCATTGATATGAGGAGGAGCAGCCTTAGTCGGACCGATACAGCTTTTTTTTTACAGAATCGGATCCTCCTGTTTCCCTATTGCGCCAACCACCTTCCTCTCGCCTTGCCTAATATCAGAATTTGGAAGTCCAATACTGAGTCCACTCGTAGTTGGGAGTATGCGAAAGGCGTCCTAAGTAGCTGAAGACCGGTTTGCTGGCGTAGAAGTACCGCAACAAGGCATTTTGGACCTCCTTGACGGTCGTGCTATCGATGCGATCGTACATCTCAAGAAGTGGAACACGGCGGCCTATTTGGAGCACCTGTTTCCCGATATCCTTCGCAGACTCGGCGCTGCCGTCCATGGCGAGGAGAAGCTGAGATTTGAGGTTGATCCTAGCCCTCTCGAGCTCGTCCTCCGGAAGCTTTAGCCGCGCAAAACGACACCACTGGGAGATCGTATGATGCAGCACCTCGACGACGACGCCGGTGTTTCCAGGCTCATTCTGTGCGGAGCGCCCCACAATATACATCCCACAAAGCCCCACATCTTTATAGGTTTCCATGAACGAGTTAACGATTTGGATGCCCTGTTCGTTGATTTGTTTGTTCACCGCCCTCGAGTTATGCAAAGGGGAGAAGATCTTGAGGATGCGATCCATCGCGTTTTGGCTGAGGTCGTGCTGGAAGCGCTCAAACGACCACGTGATCTCGCTAGCGAGGGCAAGCGGTACGATATCGCCACAGGCTGCGCCGCACGTCTGAAAAGCCCACGCGACGTTCACGGTGTTGTAGCGCATATTCCATAAACGATATTCCCCGCCAACGAACTCGCTCGTCGGGAGTCCGGCGATCCGCTCGCCACCGGGCGCGAGATCCCCCCAATACTCCCGCGCCGACGCCTCGAGTGCGGTGTGATCCACGCAGCCGGCGCCCACGACGACCACCCGCCGCCCGGCGAGCATTCGCGCGCGATACGCGTGGAGCGGATCGCCCGTGATGAGGCCAATCCCTTCATCGCTACCGTAAAGAGGGGTTCCGAGCCCGTGGCTGGTGCTGCCGTAGCCACAGCGGTGAAGGTTATCCATCACGACCTCCCGCGGGTGCTCCTCGAAACGCCGGAGGTCGAGCAACACCTCCTCCTTCGCCTTCGCGATGGCTTCCCCGCTGAGCTCCGCGTTGCGGATGAGATCGGCGAGGAGGGCGACGGCCTCCCCAACCCCTGTCTTCTCAACGTTCATATACAGATAGATGTGCTCGCGACCAATGGAGACGCCGAGTTGCCCGCCTAAACGATCCACCGCTTTTTTGATCTGCTCACGGGTTTGATTGGTGGTGCCGAGAAAACCGCATTTTTGAAGCACCCGCGCGGTACCGGCGTAGGTGGCGTCCTCATACCGCGTTCCGGCGTCTAACCACACCCCGACAGTCGCGATCGTGGCGATAGGGTTTTCCTCACAGGCAACGCGGACGCCATTAGGGAGGGTGGAGATATTCGTCGGTGGGATTCGCTGAAGAATGCCACGGAGCGCGTCGGACGTGACGGAAAGGGGGTTCCCCACCGACCGGCTCCTCCGTGCTAGGCCGAAGAAACTGGATGGCATTTTTTTTATTCTTTTGATAAACGGGACTACTATTATTATTTTATTTTTTGTGTGTGGTTGTTGGATTTGCGTGTCACGGATGAACACACAAAGATGAAAGAAAAAGAATTCCTATCTTAAGAAGTTCAGATATAGGAAAGACATAGGAATTTTACCACGTTGCCCTGCTGTCATTCCATCCCCCTTGAGTGCCCTCTGCGCAAAGGGAAAAACCCTGGAGAGGAGGCTCAATAGGATTTCATGTGCATATTATTCCTTCGTTGTTTTATTATGATGGTATAAATACCCCTAAAATGAGAAGGTCGGAGTTTTTTCAAGAATTACACTTGTTTAGCGACAAAGCATCTTTTTGATTACTTTTTTTTTCGTAAGTTCAACTAAGGGGAATACATTTTAGGTATTCCAGATAATGAGGGGAGTCATACTATATTTAAATTTTACATTCCTATAAACTAAGTTTCACTGCGTAGTATTATTTTTTCAAGGGTATTAGGATTGAGCCCCGCTTTTTTACTTCTTCCCTCCCCACCCCAATAGAAAAGGGCGTCCTCAAAAAGCGGTCCAGTGCATAATGTGCACTCCTAAACAATAGTATCAACAGATAATACAATTCGATTTACCAGCACTTTCTCTACAACGTAGAAACTATCAATATATGTTCGAAAAAGAAAATATTATTGCCCAACACATAAGCATAATTAAGGAGGTCTACGACAGGAAAGGTATTCATACGGTACACGATATATACAGTTTTCTTTTAGAGAAAAAGGGAAAGTAAGATCGGTGAAATAACAAGCTATTAAGCATAGCTATTTAAGTAGAAATACATCCTTTTTTTGCGGTATTTTTCTCACTTCTTTTTTAGCTCTTTTGCTGGTTAGGTGGCTGATCTGGGTTGGGCTCCTTTTCAAGCCCAACTGCGGTGCGGAAGATGACGCCTAGATGCGAGAGGTCGCAGAATGGCTGATTCTGTGTGTGTTTACAACCACAAACCATGTGTCGTTTTTCTTTAACTACAGTGAACTCCACCGGTTTTAGATTAGTATTCCACTTTTCGTTGTACGCTTTATGCGATTGATCACAGAATGGCTGCTTCTTACTAAGACCACAGGAGCACCAGAAGTACTTACGACCTGGTTGCAGTTTGATGACGTAGGGCTTCTTTTGTGGAATATTCACAAAACGTTGGGGTGCATTCGGGTTCACCTTAGTTTTCCAAAACGCCAACAGGATGGAGCGTTTGAACATCTTTTTAATTACACCGTGAAGCGCTTTGTGTGTATAGGTATGCTTATGGGTAGCGTTAGTCTATAGATAAATTTCAAGAAGGAAAAAGAAATCCATAAAATCCGACAGCGATAAGCTTGGTTACCCATTTGTAATGATACAGTAATACTAGACAACAATTAAAAGGGAAAGCGAAGTAGCACCCTTTGCCAGAATACATGCAGATATGCAAATTTAAGTAATAATAATGAAATGATTGAAATAAAGATAGTAGTATGGATAATGTCCTTGCTAGTTACTAAAAGCAAGAGCAAGCCAAAATTCCAAGAAACGTATGTTTCTCTCCATTTAATGAGCATCTTGTTGTATAATTAGAACAAAATATAAAGCTTATAAATAAAAATGATAAAAATAACATAAGCACATTAGAACTTGTATGTATGAGATTTAGCTTTTCATAAATTTTAGATTCCCCAAAGGCTATGGTAGTGTAGGAATGAGAAGTTCTAATAAGCTTTTCACGAATTGAAACAAACAAAAAGCATTCTCTACTCTTTTCATTAGTCGAATTTTCCTTATAACATAAGAATTTTTCTGATGAGGCATATTATATACATGCAACATTTACTTTTCGCTCCCTGTTTTGAACTATCTCTACAGTTCAATTCCTAGCTTTTTCATAGAATCAAACTGAGTAATTCATTTCCTGTCCACTAGATATTTTCATCACTAATAGATCTATCTATCTATCTATATATAGATAGATAGATATATATATAGAGGAAAAAAAGGAATAAAATGGTCGATCTCTGAGCAATGAATGCAAGCAAAAAAAATATTTTTATATATCTATATAATAATAATAACAGTAGTAATATAGGAATCGTTATTTAGCTAGAATGCGCCAGTCTTTGGGTGAAGTTGAGGAATAAGTAGCACTAGTCGATGTGAAATTTCATATGGCACATTTTCCTTTTTTATCTTCACTAAGAATCCACCCCATGCACAATGAAAGTTATTCCGATCCATCTTCTTCTTGGGGACGCGTTCAGAACCCATAAAGGAGAGCAAGATGCACCGCTGGGAAAAAGTTGTCCATGCCATATAACTTACATCCCTCCGTCTCGGAGATTTATATATTCCATTTTCACCGTACTGAGACATATCTCCTCAGTCCACCATAGCTTTTACTCGATGAGGCAAATATGCATAAACATGTATATTAAAGGCCACATCTGTATGATGTCCCTGTTCTTAATGATTGTATACATACATCCCTGTTTCAATGGGTCGCTTGGTGAATGACAACTGAATGCCCGGCATCTGCACCATTTTTGACGGATCGGGCGCTCTGCCGAACTCTTTTCGCCTCACATGCGGATCCACATGAACCGTTTTGGACGAATTCGACGCCTTTTCACGGAACATCCTATCCGATACCGGGTCGACCCGAGGTCGAGGTCAAGGGCTGCCCAACCCCCCTCCTACTCATTCCTGTCGCCGCCCTAACGGGGCCTTTTAGGGGTTCGCCGACGCGGTTCCCAGCAATCTTCCCCTCCCTTTTCCTCAAATGGTGTGATCAGGGGCTTTTCGCCTCTCCGGCTTCCGCCCCTCCGGCGTTGTCGGACCCACTCCCTTCAGCGCTCTCGCTTGGGCCGCAGCCGCTGACCGAGGAGCGTGGGCCCGGGGCGAGGCTCGTAAAAGGGCTATTCTCGGCCTCCTCCGGCTTGGCGTGTCGTGAGAAGAGCTTTTTGACGACACGGCCGAGGAAGCTCCGTCGTTTCACCTTTCCCCCTGTGGGATCAGGGAGAGGGGCGTTGGTGCCGTGATGCCGTGACGTCGCGGGACAGCGGACGCTGCTGCCACGTGGGAAGCCGCAGTCCGCGCAGAGGTCCCTGGGCTGATAGAGGCTGCCGGCGAGGTGGTCCTCCAGGGGGTCGGCCTCCGGAGGAGGCGGGGTCGACTTGGCGGCTTTCCTGGCCTTTTTGGAGGGTTTCGCGCCAGACGGAAGCGGGGGGACGTCGTGGGAGGAGACGCCATAGCAGCGGGTGTCACACGCGTCGGAGTCCGGGAAGTGCCCCTTCGTGTCACACACCTCATTCATTAGGAGAGGTCGAGATCGTTCGGGTGAGTTAGTATAAGACGGCTCTCAGGCTTGTGGTTCGATTGACCTCTTCAAAGAAGGTTACTGGAGATGTTAGCGCTGGTTCGCTTCTCGGAGTTTGACGCCTGGGGTAGTTATGGAAGTGATGGATAAATGGGATATCTGAGAGAAAGATAGCTTTTCTTAGGCCTTCCGATGTATGGATGACAGGTGAATGAGCAAAATTTAACTGTACCAGACAATTGTTTGGTAGCTTTGGTTGATACAGAGCTTTATAATTTATGTAGATGTATCCTATGTGGCTGAGGAGTTTCTATTTAGCGTACTTTACGCACCTTTTGATGTCGGTTGAGTTTCAATCGATGGGTTTTCCTGACTTGTTTTTTGAAGGCGGAGAGAATCGCATACAGAATGGAAAGGGATGCTCTTGAAGGGGAAAAAAGGATATCCAAATATAAAATAATCAGAATATCTAGCACCTATCCCAGATTTTTAATAGACACAATAAGACTCTTCATTATTTTCCAGGAGATCATTCAGAAAGGCGTGTGATGGAAAAGTGAGCATCATAGCAAAATTCAGAGAACAGAAAATGAAATAAACGCACAACCTATATCAGATAAATAGTAATAAAGGAGAAAGCGGAGATCTCATCACCATTATTAGTTTGCTTTCAATGCAACACTATTACGAAGGACAGATTTGTTACGACACTGGCACCTGCACAGTTCCTTAAAACCTTCTCTTTTCTCACTTGAGATTTTGGAGTAAATTCTAGACATGGGTCTATAATTGCATGAAGAAAAAGATCTATTGTCATTATCATTGATGATCTATCTTGGATTCTATATCGCTTTTATTCACATTGCCTAACCTGTTGATTTGATTCTTTTCCATAGCGGGTAACTCCCACATGCGATCTCAAACTGTCGCCGATGCTGATTGTATATTATGCATGACCCCCCTCACTCCCTGTTCTTCCGTAGATGATTCACTTGAGACACCACACCGTGTAGGTTTTCTTTTTCTTATGTTTTCCTTGTAAACAGAATTTCTCATTATGAATAGATGCGCATCATGGGCCCGGTAAGGGCGCGCGCGCGCGGAAGAGCCACGGTCGCTCGTTATCCACATCGTGCCGGACGACAGCGCCGGCGCCGGAAAGGTGGTCGATGGTGGCGCGTCGCCCGACGTGCGATTTGACGTCGCAGCGGGCTGCAGCACAGACATCACGTGGGTTCAAGTGAGCGGGAAAAAGGGCTTTGCCAGCGTGGCGAGGAAGATGCGATTCCGAATGAAGTTTGCTTTGGTAGCGGAGGGCGGCAGCGCCGGCAATGTGGGCACTGCTGTTCAAATCGCTATCCTCCGGTATCATCTTTCGGAACGATCTCCCACGTAAGCCGGTGAACGCGGTTGAAGAAGAAGAAGAGCTTGCCTTACGCCGTAGGGTGCGGCCATTGCTCATAGGAAATAAAATCAGAGGCGAATCGCGTTGAATTCGGTAAACTTGACCTTGTCCGTATTGATTTTCAGTGAGGGAAGACATACCTAACGAGAGGAAAGAAATGTAGAGTACTTTGGTTTCTATTTATAGTTTAGCGTAGAATGGAAGCACATTTGGGATGTGGTAAATGCAACGAGAGTCTCATAAAGTGTACATACAAACATAAACATGCATGCATTTATACATATATAGAATGCTTTTACCATGTTAGGGGCAAATATAGGCAAGAATAATCTAGGCGAGCCCCCATCAAATATTTGTAAACTATAAGCAGAGTTAACAAGCGGAAGACTAGCTTTAAAGACACGGCTTATATAGTGACAAATTTCCTAAGAGGATGAAGCACACAAAGAAACTCCAATCGAAACGTTTTCGGTCACATTTTTTTTCTCCCTCTCTAAACTCTTTATACCGTTTAACGCTGGACAGCCCGATGCCTAGGAATATTATGTTTAAGTGGATGCCCCGAATCCCCGTTTCCAGATTGCGCTGCGGTTTCTTGTTGCCTGGTTTCCATGCCAACGCGCGCGTTATTCGTAGCTGCTGCGGCGGAAGAGGTCTTTGCCTTTGGTTTCAGCGAAAAAGACAGCGCGCAGGCGCAGGATTGGTCCACTAACTCGTTTCCAACCACCACAAACGCCGCCCCTTTTAGCTCGCTGTAGTAGTCTATCAACGATTTCTTGAGCTTTCCAAGACTAATATTGTCCACCACCACCTGCGGCGGCGGGTCGGCTCCGGTGAAGTTGGGATCGTCGCGGCTTACCACATCCGTCTCCTTCAACAACAGGTCTTCTTCCTTGTTTAAGGAGTCGATCATATCGAAGGAAAACTTATACAAGTACCCGTGGCAGCCTCCGGAATCGATAGCGAGGCGCAAGCAGCGCTTATCGTTAAGAAAGCCCTCTTCCTTGTTCTTTTCCGCGATACGATGCCAGGCGCGTGGCGATACCGTGAATTTATCTCCATAATGCTGCTGCAAGGCCACAGCGAGAGGGATGCTGCGAAGGATCCAATTACATCTAAGCATGAATATGAATTTTTATGTCCTTAATCAAATTTCAAGGGGAGGAAATATGCAACACCTACTTTTAACTTTGTTTTCTTCGGATGTGTGGGATGTAGATAGCAGAGAAAAGAAATAGCATCGAGTCCTAAATGATAGAAAACTGTACCAGGAAAGCAATAGCTTACCCACCAATCAAGGGTGCATGAAGAACCATTAGATAGAAGACAATACTAGACACAAAAGAAAGTCAAAACACCAAACAAAGGCATGTATCTGTAAATGCGACGTAAATGTGGAATTGTGGAGGCTAGTGGATAACAAAATAATAAATTCTGCCTTGCAGACACACACAATTTGCCTCCTGATAGGCCAGCATTTACTTACGGATTTCCAGGCTTCGTGAGGTGGAGAGAAATTATACCGATACTATATTTTCGTTTCTAAAAAGAAGAACCACACCTCATTTAGTTTTATTTCTACGAATATCAGGGGAGAGAGGGGGGGGGGGGGGGGAAACCATTAGGTCCTTTAGTAATTAAATAACTCATTCCATAGGACATTGTTTGTACGATCCGAAGAGGAAAAACGGAGGCCATCGCGAGGCCTAGTCGATCTTCAGTTTCTTCTTGCGCTCTAAGTATTGCGTCGCGAGTGGCTCAACGACGAGGGCGATGAGCAACAGGAAGATAAGGAATCCGACCGAGAATAGCAAAATCAAGAACCCGTAGTCATCGTAGCTAACGAGAGAGTAAACCCATTCGAGGCCGGGCACGTGGGTAAGCCACTCGGCCAGCGTGGCGGCCAGCGAAAGCTTCTCGCCGTAGTACTTTCCGGCGACCACTTCTTCGATGAATTGCTCCAACATGCGTTGTTGCACGCCCCCTACTTCCCATGGGGTTTGAAGTTTCATCGCCTCGAGCTCTGGAACGCGGGTGCGGACGCGAAACATCCGAGCACGTAGGGGATCCACAATCAGAAACGCTGGCATCTCCTTCGCCTCGACTTGATACCGCGTGCGCCAGTGATCGTAGATGGCACCATCGGTCTGCGCCCAGACTACTCGGAGGGTGTTCAACTCCTCCTCGAGGGTTAAATTCCTCGCGTCGAGAGCCGCATTTCCTTTTTGAACGATTTCTCGCAGCACGGGAAGGTAATTCGTGTCGTTCGGGTGGAGCCCACCATCGGTGAATACCAACCCGAGGAGGCTGCGCTTTTGTGTCTCTAGGGTGGTCAATAGGGAGCTACTGAGCTCCTCCACCGCGCGAAAGCCGTTGACGACGAGGTATTGTTTCAACTGCGCGCTCGTTTGGGGAGGGGCGTTGGGGGTTACTGGGGGGTCGAGCCACGACCCCGCATAACATCTTGGGCGACGAAAACGATCCGATACGGAAACAAGCACTTCTCCAGCGGGCCCATTTCCCTTCCCGGCCACTTTACACGCCTTTGCCATTTCAACCACTTCCACATACGCGGCACCCCCTGCCGCCCGCCAATCCGCCGCCATCTCGCGCTCAAAAATCACCCCAAAACGGGTGTTCGCGAGGCTGACGACGCCCTCGATAGCGGCCGCCCAATCCGAGCCATCGGAATTCCCCTGCCCGCCGGGAGAATCCGCGGGAACGAAGACGTAAAACGCCACACGCCCCCCTCCTTCTGTGGCGGCCTCGTGAAAACGCGCGACCGATGTGAGATCCTCCGCGAACCCCCCACGTTCGACCGACCGCTGCAACGCCCGTGCGAAGTCGTAGAAGCCGTTGGTGGTGTGATCGCCCTGGTATTCCTCCCAATGCGAAGGTCGCCCTGTGGTGTAGAGTAAGGTAGGATAATAAAGCACCCGCAGCCGATGCCGCAGTTCGAGGTTGGCATACGCGTCCAAAAGGCCCATTCGGGCGTGACGCCGCCTCGCGCCCTTTCCTTCATGCCTTTCCGTTTGGCTTTCCTCTTGGGCCAATAAAAGGCTGGCATTCAGGAAATGTGGGATCATCCCTTTACAGAGATCACACCAGGGGGAATAGATAAGGATCAACCAGGCCTGCGCGGAACCTGGTCCCCTTACCAGGTCTGAGTTTGTGCTATGAAGACGGCTCGGGAAGACGTGATCGTCAAAGTTGGTGTCGTTAAGGGTGGTTACGACATCCGGAATGGTGAAACGCGCTTCTCGGTAGGGGTTTGCTTCGTTGATCACCACCTCCTCACTTGCGACGACGTGGAGGGGGAGAAGGAAAAGAAAAGGAGCGCACAGCGTGCAATAAAAGAGCAAGAAGAGTGTTGTGGTTCGTTTCGGCGAGAAAACGGCGCTCGCCATTTTCATTTTTCGTGTTACTTGGTATTTCGTTGAGGTTTGTCTCCTTCGTTTGAAATGATATAATGGATAAGTTCAAAGGATAGAGTAAGGGAAAAGTTTTGGTAAGGGGTTCTATTCATGCGCTACTTTTTATTGGGAAAAAAAATTCACTTCGAGTGTTGGACCTGCCAAACGCAGTATGCAAGGAGTACAAATGTAGATATCACTGCTATTTGGTTCTAAAAGCCTAAAAACCCAAGAAATGCATATCGAAAAGGGTGAGAAATATTTGGATGGAGATGTTTGACCATTTGTTGGTATAAGATCCGATTTTTATTTTGTTGTTAATGAGGAGCCAAATTGGAACTTGCAAATCCGTGGAGATTCAGTTAGATATAATTTGGTATGAATACGAGATGTTACGCCATATTCGTATGTACATATAGTGCCAGACAAAACCTATACAAATAGAAAAAAATAAAGCAGCGATCCCCCAAAACTATTCGCCGGATGCGGTGCCAAAGGCATCCATTCTCCGTTTCGCGTTCCATCACCGCGCGAATCGCCTCCTCGAGGGATTCGTCGCCAGGTTTACCGTGCGAGGACCGGTGATGGTTTCTTACAACCCCCTTCGCGTGGGCTTTGGATGACTAGTGGATCGGGAGTCCGCAGGGGGCAGGGAGCGGGCGTTCAGCCGCTCCTGATAAATCTTATCGTCGACGTAGCTCGCGTAGGTATCCCGTATCGCCTCCTGCGCGTTGGAGGACCGGGTTAGCGTGAAGAGCTTCACCGGGGCGGGCTTTAAAATCGGCGGCAGCGCGCGCGGTCCTGCTTTGTTCGCCCCCACGTTGGAACCGCTCGGGCGTCGTAGCATCGTCGTCGTCGATCCGAGGATAAATCGCTCCTTGAACGGGGGTCTCCCCAGCGGCGCGGCGTCCGCGCAAAGGGGGGGGGAAGGCGGCGGCGGCGGT